TCAACAGGAAGCAAAAGCAGAATATATTCAGATATGGCAGTGAGAAAACTGTCCGGTAAGGCAAACAGACTTGGCCCTTCACCTACCTGTTGACAAGTATGTTTTCTAAGCCTTACTTCCCCATGCAGGAGCTTCCAGTCAGTCAAACATAATCCTTTCTTTTGCATGGAAAACTATGGCAGAAAACTGCGTAGGGATCAGCTGTCTGCCAAAGGTCTGTCTTTCACACAAACACAGATACACTACAAAACATGTCCCTGCTGCAGTACAAACTGGACAGTTTGTACACATAGCACATAGAAAGTTTAGATGAATTCTGCTGGAAAAAAAAGAAGAAAAAAAGAGAGAAGAGCTTTCTGTCACTGGGAGTACTGCCTAATTATTCAGCAGAATGTTTTTTTAAATGATCTGAATGCAGAAGTTGAATGTATGTTAGAAGTCAGTTTGATGATGTACTAAGTTAGGTAGAGCTGCGTATTCCCTTGAGAGTAGAGAGGTCTTACAGAGATTTGGATAGACTAGAAAGCTGTGCAATCAAACCTAGATGAAATTTAACAAGAAATGACAGATTCTCCACCTGGGAAGCGGTAATCCTGGTTAGACATACAAACCAGGGAATGAGAGGCTGGAGAGCAGCCCTGCAAAAAATGATCCAGGGGTTTGGGCTGATGGCAAGATGAGTCAACAGTGTGCCTTGGCAGGGAAACGGGGGTCCTGAGGCGAGTCAAGCGTAGCATGGCTCACTGCTCAAGGGAGGTGACTGCCCTGCTCTGTTGTGCTGTACTGGCGTCACCCCACCTCAAGTACCATGTGCAGTTCTGCGTGCCTCAGTTTAAGGACAGCAAACTATTGGACAATTTGATTTGACAGTTTAGAAGTCTCTGGAGGAGGGTGAGCAAGATGCTGGAAGGTCTTGAGGGCCTAGACCTAGGAGGAAGCAGCTGAGATCACTTGGTTTGTTTGGCCTGTAGAAGAGAAGGCTGAGGGGTGCTGTTACTGCAGTCTACAGCCTCCTCAGGGCTGCAGCAGAGTGGGAGGTGCTGGTCTCCTCTCCCTGGTGACCAGCAATGGGACGTGAGGAAATGGAATGAAGCTGTGTCAAGGGAAGTTCAGACTAGGTATTAGGAATATGTTCTTCACTGAGAGGGGGGCCAGTCACCAGAACAGGCTCCCCAGGAAAGTGTTGATGGCACTAAGCCTGTCAGTGTGTCTGGACAATGCTCTTAGTCATACGGTTTAGTTTTAGGTAGTCCTACAACCAGCAGGGAGTTGGCCTTGATTATCCCTATGGGTCCCTTCCAACTCAAGATGCTCTAATCATTCACCAGGAAGCCCTGCTCTACTCTCAGGCCTTGCTGGTACAGGCTTTCAGCCAGCCACCAGGGCTGCCGAGTTCCCCTGTCATCACTGGAGCTGGGTAGCCCAGTGCCTCAGCATCCCATGCACTGCTGGCCGCCCTGTCCATTTTCAACAGTGTAATTAATAATTAACATCTGCTGTACCACACAGGGCAAACATGTGTCACCCAGGATTATAAATCCAGAAGACATGTATGTAAACCTTCGCACAAAGATTCTCAAAGTACCAATGTATCTTCAAATACATCTGAGTATCAAGAGTACCTGCTATCAATGAAGCTATTAAATGTTCTTTGTAAACGAAAAACTTTTAAAAAATTACATCTGGCAACTTAGTTTACAGCATCTCATTAAAACCAAACCCAAACAACTAACTTTTTTGTTTGTTTCAAGGCTTTGGGTTCAAAAAATTATAGTTCTTTTACACTTTCAAAAACATGACATAACATTTTGTATAATTTTTGTATCACCTCCCAAAGTAGGTTAAAAAAGGGCTGCCATGCACTACAATTAAGGTGGCAAAACTCCCCTTTACAACACAAGTGTCTGCTGCCAATATCTAGAGTTGCACGATCATGTACAGAAATATGTAGAGTAACAAAAGGAACCAATGCACATCTTTCTAAGAGAAAGAACAGGACAACATTGAGCAAGTGTACATCATACATTTATTACTGAATGACTCTCAACTCCAAAATTGGGCACAGGGATTAAAAATAAAAATTCATTGCACTACCTAGTAAAGCATTACTAGTAACTCTCATAAAAAATGTACAAATTTTGTTAAAAATTTATCAAGCCTTCCAATAATTTGGTTACAGATATTTATCATACATTAAAAACTACATGTTAAATGATAGACCAGCATATGATTTAAAGAAAACACTTTACAAAATACAATTCAAACAAAACCCATAAGCTTTGATATCATTAGCAAAACTGAAACACAAGTAGCAAAATGAGGTAACACTGTACCAAAGGAAGAAACATAACTTTTACAAAGGCCCAAAGATAACTCGGTCAAAAATGTGTTTTCTACAATTAGAATTTAAAATGTTCGTAAATCTCATCCCAAGTATTACACAATGTATTAAGAGCTGTGAAATCACATTCAAGAGCCTGTACAAAATGGCATACAACAAAAGGCTTTAATTTTTATTGTAAATAAAGCCACAAAATGAGACACTGGAATTATCTGTAGACCTTGGTATCAACTAAAATATCAAATTAAATCGACAGTTTATGCAAAAACACAGCAGTGCCAATATGATAAAGCAAACGTATTACAGGTTCTTTGTTTTGATTTTTTTTTTCCTTTTTTTTCTTTTTTTGAGAAGAGGAAGCCAGGTAATGGCAGAAAGGCAATAAACGTAACAAAAGTCCTGCTGAATTCTGGTGCTGCCAGGCACCACGGCAGGCTGTGGAATCACACACGAACGTGTGTAACATGTGACAGGCAACAGCTGTACACAAATCCCCTTTTCTGGACAGCCACAACAGAGACGTCCTTGTCGTCCCGTCGGAGCAGACTCAGAACATGTGCACATGTGCTGCTCATACACACCAACCACAGGAAGTCCACATACATCCCCGAGTCTCGAGCAAAGGAAAAATCCATTCCAGAAGAAACGTGTCGTAACAGTGCAACAGTTAATTTCAGGATTTTACCAGCTTGGATTCTCCATCTCTTAGCTCTCCCACTGCCTCACAGGGTTTTACTGGGGAAAAAGGGACATTACACATCACCATTTCCCTAGTTCCAGAAAGAGGACTACTTTCCCTTGGCTTCAGAAGAACGTGTCTTGTTCATTTGTAACTAGCTCAGAAAAAATACCCTCCTTCCACGCTTCAAAATGAGCAGTTTGTTTAAATCTGTACCCACAGAATTTTTCCTTCTGCAGTTATATAAAAAAGCCTTAGTTTTGTAAGACGTACGTGGCATATGCTTTTTAGACAACACGATTTTATTTGTTAAAAAAATAAATGTTATTAGGTGTCGTTTAACCTGCTAGGTGTAATTGTGAAAAGCCCGTTTAACTCCACTGGAAGAGAAGAGAAATTATAATATTTTGAAGTTGATGTAACAGCATCCTTATGTATTTAGTATTGTTAAGTATGGATAGGTATGGAAAGACTCTGTTCTTGAGAACTACCTGCATAACTGAACAGAGGGAAAGCATCTGAAATAGGGCAAAAACTGTGCTTTTATTTTATCTGCACTGAGAGCTGCGACTGGTCTATAGATTCCCCAAAGAGGGAAACCAGCATGGAGAACATCTAATACAATTTGAAATTATAACTGATTCTGAAGCATAGCAGCATACAAAAACATCAGAAATCATAAAGAATAAACTTAAAGCTGAGACTGGCAGCAAGTTGCAGCAATATTGCTTATTGTGCCACCTGTGCTGCTGCAACCCTAGTAATGACACTGGATTTAGAAGAATCTTCCTACAAAATGTGCATCCTTTGAATAGCTATGGTATATGCAGACCAAAACATTTTACTAGACCCTATCAAAGATATTAACAGTCTGAATGATACAAAATACTTTTTTTTCCAATAGCCCAAATAAAACATTATTCAGAGCACCTGGACAGAGGTTATCACCTGTTACACAGCACTGTTCTGGAAGGTGATCCTATTTTTTCATACACTGGAGCACTCTGGAAACTTGATTGCAAAAACCAGGCCAGTTCCTTCTTTATATTACATTCAACATGAAACAAGGAAGGGCATGACGCAGAATCAGGGCAATTGAATTATGCAGTTAACGACCAAAAACTGCCTTCTTTTGTGATACAATGAAAAAAAGAAATTCTACTTCTGTGAGAAAATGCTAAAAAATTTATTTTATTCATGAAGTTGCAAGAATAAAATTGTAACCTCTTACAATTGATTTTAGTTGTATAAAAACTCCTTTGTAAATGACAAAGAACACACGTGATTAAAGCCAATGTTTATAAGCTGAAAGATTATGTCCTTAGCAAGTACAGTGGACAAAAGTGAAGTGTTGCACAAGACCCTCAGTGTCCTTTCTGCTTCCTTTCATGGAAGAAGCACAGAACTGGCAAACCCAGCTAGAAAAACGTAAAAGGAAAATGGAAAAGCATGGATATTCATATTAGCAATTTGAAATTTTAATATTGCTAAATGATTTGTGCAATATTGCAGCTTTGAATTGATAAAATAACTTGCAAATCCAGATTTTGTAATGTGTGCTGAAAAGCTCAATGCTACTCATGACTGAATAGTTAATGCACTTTTCAGTGGTACACGTTTAAAGCCTTCAATACAGGGGAAGCACAACCACTGTTTGAATAACAGGTAGAAACGTCTTTACACCTGTAAGTACTTTGGGGAGGAAACACTAAATGTCTGTGATTGCTGCACCCACTGCGTTCAGTGTGCAACTGCAAACACAAGGAAAGGAACCAGTGTACAGTACTAGTACTGTTTAAATAACACACAAGATTATACACTGCAGCATAATTGTTACTACACACGTACGTTCTCAGTACATGCTGGTACATATGTTCTCAGACACACGTGCACAGTCACCCACAAGCACACCACACGTCCTCTCACCAGCACACACACATCTATGCAGCCCATTCCCACTCACAGTATCTGAAGGCTCTATATAAGGTAGATTGCTATACTGTTTGGAGCTACCACTTTGTTTTTGTTTTTTTTTTTTTCCTTTTCATTTAAAAGCACATGCTAAAAGATCACCACAGTAATCTCACAGCAACACTCGGAACGATCACACGAAAACCAGGGAATGTTAGTGCACACACAAAATTAACCTAAAAAACCCCAGTCTTTGGAGTTCCAATCACACTGTTAGTATAACAATCCTGTAACTGTGAAGACTAGTTATAAGCTTTATAATGGATTAAGTCACACAGTGCAAAGTAAGTCCCATTGACCCTTCTGTGTGAAGGGCAGGCCGGGAGCCGCGTGGGTAAGTTCAACAGACAGTCCGTACACACGCGTGACCGGGAACACCTAAACTGGATTTGTGCTCTTGGGGGGTCACTCTGAGTCACGATGCACTTCCGAGGCGTCAGCTCTGCAAATCGGGCACGTACGGTTTGCCTGCAAAACCAGAAACAAAGGAGGGTTTACTGCACTGGCAAACAGATGGCCGAGGTAACACGAGTGTGACACTGACAACCGTGAGCGCTGAAGAAACTCAAGAGTGCTCAGGAGAAGAGAAGGCAAAGTGTGCTTGGGCCTTTTTCGTTTGTTCTGTTATGTTAGATAAATGTGACTCAGCAGGCCAGGGTCCATAAATCACTGCCACAGTTTCAAATCCAAACAATTAATGCCAATGAGTAACATGTTATTACTGGGAAACATTACTTAGTAATATAAGTTAAAATAAGGGTGTACTTTTTCTGTCAATTACTACTGTTATTTTATAATTTGTATCATTGCTATTATTGCTTTACAGTTTTGATAAAGCATGGACTGGAGAATCACTTCAAGATCTATTTCTTGCTCTTTCACTAGCAGTTCTGGAATTAATTAAGGACAATGACATTGCTTGGTCGTTACTTTGCATTTCCATTACCCTAGATAAAATTCAGCTAACATAACTTTTAAAATAAAAAGGCAAGCTCTTCAAAATTCAATTGATTATTGAATCAGGAGTTATTTGCTTAGATATATAATGAAGTATTTACCATCTGTAGCATAAAATGGAGCATTCAGTGGGATTAATTGCCTGACAGCAATTGCAGAAATAAATCCAGTGCGCCAGAATAAAATGAACACTCATGGGCATGGCAGCACTGCTTTTCAAGAGAATTTTCAAATTCCTACATGAACGTCTGTTTTAAATTTAGTGGCATTCTTCTGTCTTTCATGAAAATAATTCCTCCTTCCTGGCATTTAACATGACTTTTTGGTGCAAAAAGAGAAGTAAGGTGGACATAATATTGACCTCCTAAATAGCCATTTTTTCAGGCAAACTTACTTTCTGTACTGTAAGGAGAGCTGCATAATAAACTGATTAATCTTGGTTTTATAATTTACAGAAATCTGTAGCTGAACTGCACTTAGAATAACGAATATGTAGATCCCTGCTAGAATCCTCTAAAACACTGCACTACTTTGGTGTTAGTCCATCAGAACCAAGTTAAACTATAATTACAGCTTGTCTTTTCCCATATATAATACAGCATTTCCTATCAGAATGTTAAGTACAAAGTCAAGTTGTCCTTGTTATCTGTTTCTACACACTCAGAGTGAATACAGGTCATATTTTCAAGCAGTCCTTCGGAAAGATGACTAACTCTTACTACAAGAGTAGGGATTTCTCATGTATTCATATTTGACTAAGGGATTTATGATTTTAATAAATAACCAAATACTGTGAAATTTGGGAGTTGACATCACTCTATAAAACAAAAGGATACCCTCTCTCTTGTAAATCCAGTTTCCTCCACGGTATTACATCTTCTTTCACGTCTTTAGCCTTGCTTACCCAGGAAACCATAAATTAAACTGGGCAACACAATGCACTGTAAAGGAACATTTCTGTCATTTGCCCACACCACCTAAAAAGCTGGTACTGTACAGAGCATCATTATGCCAGCACGGCAGATCAAACCTTTCATGCAAGGACAAACCACAAAACTTCCTTAGATACCATTTTTGCATTCCATCATCACCAAAAGGCAGTGCAATAAGGTTTTATTTTTTTTTTTAATAATGACTGGATCATTAACCTCTTATATAAACCTTTTACTAACAACATGGTAAAACTTAAAGGAATCAGCCTGACTCCACAGTTCTAGAACTAGTTTTAGAAATATTTCTAAATAACAATTACTTTCCTGCAGAGACAGGATTAAACCAGTAGGGATAAACGGGTAAATTTTTTTTTTAACTCTTGTGGAAAAAGTAACAAGTACTAAAAGCTACAATTTTTAATGTCTGTTGCAGAACTTATCTACATGATGTTGGCGGGATGATACGAATTAAGTGGATGGGGACATAACAGTATTATCAACATATAGAACAAATTGTCCAATACATAAAGTAATGGACAGAAGCAAAACTATGACATAAGGTATCCGCATAACAGGAACAGTAATTAAACAATGTACAAAGTGAGTAATACGAAATGCACATAACTGCCTAAAATACACCAGAGGCTCTGTACCAGAGATCCTTGCCCTGCTGGTCCCCCTCCTACAGCAGACCATGGCAAAACCTATCTTCCAGTTCTCCTCACTCCCAGGTGTTTGCTGCCTAACTGTAACCAAGTTCAGACAGGCTGTAACTAAAAGAGGCTCATGTTACAGGTAATTTGTTACAGTTGGCAAAGAAAGATGATCTGTATTTCCATACATCACCTTCATACCAGTGTCACTAAACCCACATGGTGTAAATATATTGCCACAATAATCCTATACTATGATGTTTTAACCTTGTCTAGCTTCTTTATCATCCAGCTCTGGAATACTACTGATTTAGAATCCAGCTCAATATTCAACACAAGCAGTGGGTGTAGCTGCATATATGTATACACATCACACATTGTATTTGCTCTAGAACATAACATTAATAGCAAAGTGGGGAAGGAAGATATTAGTACTCATTCTTGCTATGCAGCATATGTAAAACATTTAAAGCCATCATCATCACAAAACCCTCTAATTCATACTTGCTGTTTTATGTCACTTTTTCTTCTCTTCTTTTAATTTTACTTATTACTCAAATTCACAGTCATTGTTTTGTGCAAATGGAAAACACAGTAAGATCTGTCAATGAAAGTAATTATCTTCATATTCATTTTCCCTTGTGCCAAAGACTATAAAGAAGTCCCCTTTATCAACTGTTAGAAAAATATCACAAATAGGCAGTGCTTCCACTCTGTTGGCATTGCTAACCTAAGTGCTAGAAATGCGAAACAGGATAGAATGAAGTGGAACAGCAAGGTACCCCCCAAACTACATAATGAATTCCATAGAAGACAGGAATTTTCCTTTTTTTTTTCCCCTTTTATTTTTTTTTTACCTTCAGCCATTTATCGACACACTTGGCATGGAACTCGTGGTTACAGGGTAAGACTCTAAGTAGCTGCCTTGACTCAAAATCACACATGCACACCACACACCTAAAAAAGACAACAGAGTTCAAAGTTCGTATCTGCTACGTAAGAACAACAAATACATATTCCATCCAAAACCTCACAGGTATGTATGACTGCAACACAGTAGCTCTTTTACTCCTTCAGAAGCAACAGTTATTTATGGCTATGGTTGAAGATGTATAATGTGACAACATGCAATTAAGAATTACCTTTGTGTCTTTTTTTTTCCCTGTGCTTTCAAATCATAAAGCAAGTGTTCCTGTTCACAGGAGTTCACAGACCCAACTAATAGAAAGATGTTTAATCAAAGTGGTGGATATAATGATCTATAAACTTCACTCCCTGCTGATACTAGTAAGTTGCACTGAGGGTCACTGAAACAGGAATATCTGAGAAAAATCCTTACATTGAAGTTCAAACACTAGACAGCATTTTCTCCTAAGTCACTATCCTGGTTCAGCTAGGCTAGGGTTAATTTTCACCAGAAGCTGCGAGGTTGACACAGCCAGGACAGACAACCCCAGTGGCCAGTAGGTTATTCAATACCATAAGGAAGTCGTGTCTGCTACAGGAGGGCAGGGAGCAAGTGGTTCAGGGTTGTGCAGTTTCTGCTCCGAGCTAACACTGTCTTTGCATTTTCTAGCACTTTCTTTGTATACTGTTTCATTACTGTTATTATTATTACTGTTGTTTATCGCTCCTTTTCCATTGTTTTATTAAATTCTCCTTATCTCAAACCACGGGTTTTGGTTTTTTTTCCGCCCTGTTCTCCTTCCCATTTGTGGTGTCAGGGTCCCTGCTGGGCCTAAACCATGACAGTCCTTTTTGGTTCATGACACCTCAGGCCAATGGGGAATAGATGCAACACAGATGGGCTTGGGACCAAATGGCAGGCCTGACTGTGGACAAGATTGCAGAGGTCGTCCATGCATGTGGGACATGTGCTGCAACCAAGCAAGCCAAGAGGTGAAAGGCCCAGTGGTATGGAGAGTGATAGGCAAAACACAAACGGTGAGAGGCCTGGCAGGGTGACTACATCACTCTGCCACAGACCCACCAAGACCCATGCCATGTGCTCATCATGGTGGAAGCAACCCCTGGGTGGCTGGAAATGTATCCAGTGCACCATGGCACTGCCTGGGACACCATCCTGGGCCTTGAAAAGCAAGTGCTGTGGTGACACAGCACCCCAGAGAGAGTCAAGTCAGACAACAGGACTCATATCCGAAACAGCCTCACAGACACCTGGGCCATGGAGCAGGGTTTATCATTTCAATTTGGTCTGTGCAGTTTACATATTGCTTTATAGATGCTTTCATTACTGTTATTGTTATTACTGTTGTTTATTGCTCCTTTTGTGTTGCTGTATTAAATTCTCTGTATAAAACCCCATGGGATTTCTTTTTTTTTTTTTTTTTTTTCCATCCCTGTTCTTCCCATTTTGGGGGGTGTGGGGATGAGGACTGAGCTGCCATGTGGTGTTCAGCTCCCTGCTGGGTCTAAACCACAACAGTCACTTTAACTTCATATTTATACTGTCCTTTCCATTTGGTTGTGCAGATCTTTTAAACACAGTAAGTTAATGTGTCTTAAAAGTAAGAAGACGCACTCTTAAACCACTATCCAAACTCTGTTTGGAACTTGAAGCTATTTTAACACAGGCTAAATTCCAGGTTGACAATGTTTCTTTAATACCTAGTATATTAAACAAAACCTAGAACACCTTTCTTTCATTTTAATTTTTTTAAACTGAAACAAAGTTAAATGATGTGAGACTAGATAGAGCTTTTAAAGTAAGAATAAATAGTTTTTGATCTGGAAAACAATTCGAGAAAAAAAAAGAAGATTAAGCTGTTTACTGGCACGACTGCTTTTAAAGTCCTTCTGGCCTAGCTGAGGCTGCAAGTTAAAGAAATTAAAATTATAGACCTCTGAAAGAGACCAGTGTACTTACAGTGTCTGCTCTGACTGGTGATTGCTTGGATTGAACCTGTAGGATGGAAGCTGTTCTATGTCTGCCTTTGTCAGCCCTCGTGGTTTCGCTTCTCCCAGACGTTCTGCCAAATTCAGGAGTGCCTGCAAGACATGTTAAATGGACATTTAAAATTCACTGCTCAAACACACTCAGGTTCCAGTACAGGTGGGGCTGCCGTTACACCTCACTACTCCATACAAAACACCCTTCCATCAAGTTCTTAGTTCTCCCTACAACACAAGCCCTGTGGAAAGTCTTGCAGAATTCGATCACCTTTCTAATTATGCAAAATGTTCTCTTTGGGATTTCAAAACAGCCAGGACTCAAATTCCAATTAGTCCTGTGGCTGCATGCACAGCTTGTAGATCATTTTGCTTCTGAAGTTTCCCCTTATGCCAATATGAAATTAATAGTGCTAGTAACCAGAAAAAATCATCAACAAATGTGGTTCCTAAGAATATGCCAGTCTAGTCTTGTGAGAGAAACCAAGAGTTTAACAGGATGGGTTGTGATTCCCACTCCATGTCTTGGGCTAGCCAAATTGAAATACTGAGATTTTATCCTGAACCTGGAAAACAAAGACATCAAACTGTAAGCTTTCTTTGCCTTGCAGCTAGAAGCCTCTCATATATATATATATAATTTGCACTGCGTCACGTATGTGACTTGCACTCTTTCACAAAGGAGCTCATCAAAGGAACGATATCACTGTAAAACAGGATTAAGAACCAAGGCACAGAAAAGTTTAGACTTGGTAAAAGCTGCAAACAGTACTGATCACAAAGAGATCTCTAATATTGTCAAACCTGGGGCCCGAATTCTCAGAAATAAGATGATGCTTCTTCCGAACTAGCACAGAAGATACTCAGAATCTTCTTACAGATTTGCAGAAGTGCTCGTTGTTAAACTGAAAATGTGCAACTACAGAGAGCTCTTAAGGGCAGCACAGGCAAAGAGATGCGACAGTAAGGGTTGATGATGGCTGAAGAGAACCTGAACTGAATCTAGCAGTCTCAGAACCAGCAATGATACAACAACTGAGACTGCCCCATAATTATCTAGATATTAAAGAGGGTTCTACATCTTTACATGTGAATTACTGTACCCTCCTGAGGGCCAAGAAGAAAAGGCACTAAGGTAGTTTTATAAATATTACATTTAGATTAATTAATCCTATGACATTAACACTATTCTGTATTAACATTATTCTGCAAAGTTACACACATAAACCCAGTAACTTACCCTGTTCTTTTGAAAATGCTTCACTTCTGTTTGAAACTTAGAATCAATTAAAATTTAAAAAGAGAAGAGTAGCATGTAGAATACAAAAGTAGAACTATTTAATGATTAGTAGCCTGGAATGGTGCATTCTGGGAAAGAGCAATAGACAAAAAATAAAGCTAAGCACTTCTAATATTGAAAAAACACAGAAGGATGGTTTCTGTATTGTAGTTTCACAGTCATTACATTTATTTGAAAGGCAAAAGCAGGACTAAAAGCAAAATATAATAAAATTTTATGTATTGCTTGAGCTAACATCTGTTCTTTAAAGGTAGTTGTAGTTCACACACCAACCTCATAGTTTTCTACCTCTCCATCTTCCACATCCAACTCAAAGCTGAAAGCTGGTCCAACTGCAGGTGGCACTGGGAGCATTGATCTACCATGAGAGCAAACAATGATAAGGTTCAGCATCTTGCTGAAGGAAAGCACAGAAACATCTGGCAGAGGTAGAGTTACCGTATTGATCCCTCTCTAATCACTAAGTTTTCAGAACTGGCAAAAACGTTAAGTTTGAAGTGAAGAATAGACACTGAAGTGAAAGAGTCAAAGGAAAGAGCTAATTCTGCCACCTTTTGGCAGTGGGAGTGTTGCCTTTTTAATTGGCTGCATGTCTCAACTGACACTTCTGACCAGGCTCAGCATCATTACAAACCCTAATTTCTTTGTTATCACAGATTACAGAGAGCTAAAACTGACAATGAATTGATGTTATGGTTTAATAGGTTTTATTTCTTTAAGGGGATAAAATGTCAACTAAGAAAGGGAACCCTAAGTTCAGTTAGCTCTCCAATACAAAAGTCTTGACGCTTCTGTATGTCTAAAACACATAATGAAGATAAACAGGATATAATACCAGACCAATTTCTATACTGAAGGCAAGCACAAACTCACTTTCTCACACAGTATGCTCTTGGTTAAAGCAGAATCTCTTCAGATAAAGGCAAGAGAGCGATGTTTTTCTGTTTTCATATTAAATGAGTGTTTTTACACCCAAGATAGTACTATAGGTTAAAATTTAACTCAAAGACATAGAAATCACAAATTCACAGCTCTAAAATATACTAAAATCCTACTGAAGTCATCAAGAATTACTGTGTCACATCCTGTCCTCAACAGACAGGCAAGAAGCTACGACATTACTCTCTGACTGTAAGATGCAACGCTGAACAACTTCACTGGATCAGACTTCTGGTGCTATTTTCATTCCATGTCTGAAAGGAACTAGCAATCTGGTGCCAGTGTTTGATTATTTCCTTGTCAATGTCACCTTTGCCACCAGAAAATAGCCTCTGTTTTTCAAACATTTCATACTTATTTCCAAAACCAAACACAGAAGAATAATAAAGCTCATGCCATATACCCAAACTCCCCCTCTGAGAGCCTACCATTATACACTGCAGATAACTCCTAAGTGTTACTTGTCCCACACCTTTCCCAGAAACAGCTAATCAGAGGCAGAACAGAAATTCAACAGCTGTAACAAATTACCAGTTCACCCAATAGAGTAATACAATATAGAAAGCTCCCACCCTTGTGTTTCATAATTAAGAACTGAACGAAATGAATTTATTCCACATGTGAAGACTCCTAGGATTTTACCCTACAGTGTAACCACGCCTCTGTAAGAGTATCCAAGAACCAAGTTTTAAAATTTGTTGAGGATTTTATGAAGTGTTCAGAAATAAGAGGCTATTGTGCCTCAAAAAACCTACAAAACCACACTGGGTGAAATTTTTCGCTTTTCTTTTTCCTTGCTCAAGGGTGTATGTTATTTGAAATAGGCTGGAAAATTTTGAGATAAATGGAAGTTCTCCTCTTCTCTGGGACAGCTGAACTGTTCTCTGGTAGAGTCAACCATAAAAAGTGCCAACACTTGTTGACAGTCATGTGAGTTCTTAATAGCCTACATGGAAGCAAATGTACTTTGAACTTACAGCACATAAGGTAATAGGCTGGGATGGTAAGGGTGTGGTGGTATTGGCTGCTGTGATTGGTATCTCCCGCGCCCTGTGAGTCTTCGAGGCACAAAAGGTGAGTAAGGCTGCAAGAAAGAAGAAAATAAGCTTCAACTGGAACTTGTGGAACTGGAACTTGTGTCCAGTTCTGGTGTCCCTAGCGCAAGAGACATATGGACGTACTGGAGAGAGTCCAGCGAAGGGCCACTAAGATGGACTGGAGCATCTCACATATGAAGAAAGGCTGAGAGAGCTGGGACTGTTCAGCCTGGAGAAAAGAAGGCTCAGGGGGATCTTATCGATATATACGTATCTGAAGGGAAGCTGCAAAGAAGACGGAGCCAGGCTCTTTTCAGTGGTGCCCAGTGACGAGACCAGAGGCAATGGGCACAAACTGAAACACAGGAGGCTCCGTCTGAACGTCAAGAAACAAGTACTTCTTTACTGTGAGGGTGACTGAGCACTGGCACAGTGCTGGCCAAGAGAGGTGGCAGAGTCTCTCTCCTTGGAGATATTCAAAAGCTGTCTGGACATGGTCCTGGGCAATTGGCTTTAGGTGGCCCTGCTTCAGCACAGGGGTTGGACCATCTCCCCTCTAACCTCAGCCATTCTGTGATTCAACATTTTGTTTTCTTAATCAAGAAATAAAATGAAACCTGAATATTGAAAACTACCTGCAATAAAACATTTTTTAAAAAATCCAGCCTCTGCTCAAATCCAAAAGAACCTCAGCTGAAGCCTCAGTTTGAAACAATTCCCAGCAATATCACTCAATTATACCATTCAGTGTGAAAAAGCAGTTCCACACAACAGAAATCCTCGCAAGCTCTTCTGTGCTTAGTGTACATGGAGTCTGGTTTGGAAAACAGGTCTTGAACTGTTGATTCTCTTGTAAACATAAAAGCTCAGGCTTTAGGCCTTGTGCTGTTCTGCAGGCTTGTGCACAAGTGATTGAATAAAGAAGCCTTTTACATTTTTTTTTTAAGATTTTAAAAAAAACCTGCTCTTTAAAAAAAAAACTTTAAAGCAGTGGTTGATATTTATATTTATGGCAAAGAAGAGTTGAAGCCTTTCGAGTGTACATATAGAGTTTAATCAGTACAATTTCTGCAGCAGAACAATGCCTAAAGACAGTCAAGTCTAAAGCTTCAATGTATTCTTTCCATGGATAAATCAGGGCTTTTCTGTCACACTTTTTTTGAGTGCTAAGACCTTTACTGTATATTTAAGTTTTCATTATAATTGTTCGAAATTCTTTGCATTACCTACAAAAATAGGGACATACACGGCAAAAAACTTCCAATTAAATGCAAGCTATATTTTTCCATAAGTATTCAAAGTTGTGTAATTATTTTTAGTAATTTTTAAAATGGAGATTCATGTACTAGTATTGAATTAATAATTGAAGGCTTTGACATGTTTTTTTTTAAAACAAAGAACACTCAAAGTCGTTACTAACATGGTTTTCTTCTTCCATGTTGGAAATGTAAGAAAACACAAAAGTCAAACACCACCAATGCCTAACGTAAAACCCTCTAACTTTACAATGCTACAATTATTAATAGGTAGCCATGGTCATACATAAAATTTACATACGAATATAAACAAAATGCAGAAGAGTGAGGACCTCTTTGTTAAAAGCAAGATCTCACACCGGACATAGCAAATACCGATTTTACTGCTTTGTGAATTCTGCAACCCAAAAATATAATTAGAAACTGTTGCATTCATTGAAAGAGAATCAGGAATGCTGCCATTTCACCATAATTTTAATAGAAATAAAATTTTATAAAGATTTTATGATCACTTGTAATACAACTCTATTCTCTTCCTCAGCGATATACAATGCAGAACTGATGCATCAGAGGAAAAATGCTACATAATCTGCAAAAAATGGTAATTTTTTGTTTATCTACTTTAAAGACTGAACCTGGAAAGCAAGGAAGCCTCAGTCCAACAAAAATAATTCTGATTAGACTGTAATTCATCTAACAAGCATAGTGAGTAAAACACAAGCAGTTTGTGGCATATTTAAAATGTCTTTGTCTCCAGAGTGACTCACAAGGACTGAAAACTTCACTGAAAATCTGCATACCTTTAGTTTAATGATGAACTCAGTATTTTTTGAAACTATGGAGAATGAAATGATGAATGCTTTATAAAAGCAGCATTAAGCATTTAAGTAGGTTGTGTGATTTTAAGGAGACTAATTAAAGAGAAGTTATCTGTATATCCTGTAGTCACAGGGCCTAAACTTTTAGTCTTATTTAAAACTTTAAATAACAATATGCTTCTAAAACCTTCTGTCAACTTGATGCACAGGTTCAAACATTTAAAAAAATCAGAGCCTGTATCTGTTTTTCAGTTATCTCTTCAAGCACAACACAGGCAAGAGGTTGTTTTTTTTTTTCAAAGCCAGCCCATTCAAAACAAAAACAAAAGGTGACATCTCAGCACTAATATAATTGCAGATTATACTGCATCACAAGTCTCTAAAGGTACCACAAGATACTGGACACACCACAGAAACACAAAAATTTAGCACAGACTTTATCCCGCACCAGGTTTAAACTTTTTTGTGCTGCTGCCTTTGAACTGCCCGTAGAACCCCAGACAGCTGGCTTAAAGCAAGCCTGGCTCTCTTTGTAACGAGGTGCACTCTAAATTATGGAAGCATTCTATACTGCTTGTCTGCAAATGGTGGACACTCTGGAGAAGAACTGTTTTTGAAGTATTCTAGCTCTCCTGACTTCTGGAAACACAGGATGAAGAATTAGCTAAAAGTGACAGCAGCTTTTCTAAACTGTCATAGTTTCTGCAGTAGAAGTCCGGGAGCATGTGGCAATGCAGAACGTTTTCTCAGTAACTGCCATGATATTCTGCAGACAATGTTACCATGACCTATTTGCCGGTACCATTAAGTTGCCCCCTAACGATAAAAAACAAGCTTGAAGAAAACACCACTGTACACAGCTATAGCTAACAATGGAATATAACTGCAAGAAATGCCACTTTCCAGCAAAATGTACTATAGAATAAGGATCAAGAATGTTACTGGAGCATGAATGATAACACAGCACAGAAAACAATACTTACTACACCAAATGACACTTCCTGGTGTAAAGGATCATGGGTTAAGAACTGGAGAGGAGCTGAGGGAGGCAACGTTGGTGGATGGGCTGAGGGAGGGTATGTAAAACCTCCTATAGGAAGATGTTCTCCAAGCAGTTCTACTTCATTTTCTATCCTTTGAAGTGGCTAAAAAGAGAAAGGAAAAAAAAAAAAAAAAAAAGAGATAGGCTTTGTTGCAACAATAGAGATGCAATTTTCCCCCACAAAGAACTGCATTCCCAGCTGTATATTCTGAGCTGCTGTGGTAATTTTACAGGATACAAAAAAAACAGCAACCAACCAACCAACCAACGAAAAAATCCCAAAAAAACCAACACAAACCCAAAACCAGGTATAATTGTACTCTGTTTCATATAGTAACTCTGTGAACAATTCCTGTGTCATTAACACTACCAAAAAGCAAAGACAACACTACACATTTGATATGAATTCACCTTTTCCAGCTAGCCATGCTTATAGACCAGGAATTTATGCGATCTAGCAAATATAGAAGTGCTGTAATTTCCTGTATCTTGCATTTTTCAGGACAAATATTTGCTCTCCTTCTTGCCAGGCTGCTCTCACTGTACAACTATGCGAGAGAAAAAATAAACAACCATAGACAAGAACTGAAATTGTGCCAGAAAATCTGAAAAGTGGACAGGAGACATGGTGAGTCTAGTGGATTAAACTGCTAATGATATTCAGTAATCAAGCAGATGCTTTCCTAGGAGGGTCATGCAAGCAGTCCTACTAAGAACACACAGTCCAGACGTTTCAGAAGCATGAGATTCCTGTTCATTATTGTAATCTTGTCAACTGAAGTATGTCAGTCAGGCCCATAATGCTCAAGAAATAACTAGGAATTGTCATTGTCTCATTAATGCCACTTCCTGTTCCTAACACTGAACTCCAGCGTTTCAAGAAATTCAGCTAACAAAGCCACCTTGTGGAGCCAAATGAATATGCTGCTTCCATGTCATGCAGAGCAAACTTCAAACACAAGGTATTCTTAAACCACTACGATACAAGCTTTTTGCCAGAGGTGAAAGCTGACAGGCAAGCCTAGTAAATAACCCAAGTAACCTAAGCCCGCACATATTCTGCAGGAAAGTCTCATAAAGATTACCACTAAAAAAACATATTTTCCCAGCTATTGTCCCATCATCATAACAAAGTGATTACAACCTTCTCTAGACCAGAGACATAGCACGGAGAAACCTCAGCAGTGTTTGAAGGTAATGTTTGTAACAATTAAGCTGTTTTCTACTTCTGTGTGACTGAAATACTGTCAACCTGTAGTCAGAGGGGCAAATGCACAGGAGTATACACACAATCCCACAGATAGAGCTGTAGGCCCGAGGTGAAAATCTGTTTTCCCCCCAGTTCCAAAACATTTTCCCACGTTTCCCTATTCCTGGGTTATCAGTAAGCCTGCTTAAACAGACCAGTAACTTTCACAAGTGGGAAAAAAAAGGAAAAAAAAAAAGGAGAAAGGGAGACTGTCAGCCAATGACCAAGGTCACTCTGTTGCAGGAAAAGCACATGTCATTTAAGAACTACCTGAGAAGTACTACAAAAGAAACATTAAAGTAACACTGTGCTTTCTTCTCTCTCTGCTAACATATCACTGAGATATTACACAACCTCCTCTGGATTCTATTCTGTTTCCTGGGAAAGAAATACCTGAGGGAATAGTTGGTGAAGCAAATATACATCTTTTTGGCAGAAGTAAAGGCCTATGAAGAAACAGCACAGACAACAGCTGATGAAAGAGAAATACGGTGGACTTTCATATCATGTTTTCCTGTTCATACTAAGTGGTTACAGACTTGTTAAGGAAGTATAAGTGCAAAAAACTACTGTTGTAATCAAAACGCTCCCGTTTCCTCAATCACGTATCGGCACTATTTGTCCATCCAGTCCCACCAATTCTATGGAGAGGCAAGTAAGAGGCGTTACTTACCGACCGTGATGGCTGTGCTTGGAAGGGAACGAACTGTCCTGGAGGAGGCAAGTGAGGAGGGTGGTGTGGAGAGATATGAGGAGGATGCAAAAGAAATGGGTCACTAGAAATAAGGGGTGGAAATGCTGCATATGGTACAGGTAGGTGCTGGACTGAGCATGCCTGAAGCATCTGAAATAAAGTAAAAACAACATATTTTTTTCTGTAGTACAAATATTACCAGTAAAGCATTCTATATTTATTATGGAAAGATAGCATTAAAACAAGGAGCATTAAGCCAGGGAGAATCTCCACCCTTTATTGGATGTGTGGACAGCATATTGCCTCCAAGGATGAGGAAAAGGCTGAGATACTTAACACCCTCTCTGCCTCAGTCTTCAGTAGAGCAGTTATCCTCGGGATATTCATATCGCCCCCCCTGGCCAATGAACCCCCCATAATCCAGGAGGAAGCAGCTAAGGACCTGTAAGGCCACCTGGACACACAAGTCTGTGGGGCCAGATGAGATCCACCTGAGAGTGCTGAGGGAGCTGAGTGAGGAGCTTGCCAAGCCTCTCTCCATCATTTACCAGCAGCCCTGGTTAACTGGAAAGCTCCCAGGTAACTGCAGGCTTGGCAGCGTGACACCCATCTACAAAGAAGGGCCGTAAGGAGGATCTGTCAGCCTGACCTCAGTACTGGGGAAGGTTATGGAATGGTACATCCTGAGTGCACTCACACGGCACGTGCAGGACAACCAGAGGATCAGACCCAGCTAGCATGGGTTCAAAAAAGGCAGGTCCTGCTTCACCAGCCTGATCTCCTTCTATGATTAGGTGACCCACACAGCAGATGAAGAAAAGGCCATGGTTGTTGTCACCCTGGACTTCAGGAAGGCCTTTGACA